TGGTTCCTCCTAGTGGAAAACTTTGTTGGCTATATTTATAATTACCCTGTTGATTTTATTATTTTGCACATGCATACATAATGCTTCTATGGCCTTGTTTCCTCCAGACCTAAAGCTGTACATCTGCCCAAGGCAAGAACACCTGGTGTCTATCAAGGGCCTTCAGATGGACCCTCTGTGGAGTATCTGTGACTGCTAACCACAACTACGACCTCCTTCTCCTAAAAGTAGCCACATCGGTCTCTGACCCTTGCCCCCTCACAGCAGTTAGGAGTACTTCTTCAGACGGGGGAATATTATAGGTAGCTAAGTTAGGTAGGAATCTTGGAGGTAGTCAGACAGGGCTGGGCCCTCAAGAAGTCAACACAGAAGACAGTTGTGGCTGGAGGTGCATTCACTGAATGCCAGGCTTCAAGAAAAAGAACTACTCACCCATATACTTCCCCTAGGGAGGAACAGCAGTGATCTAAATAGGCATCAGTTGCCTTGGGGTGGAGGACCAAACCTCTTTATCACCTCTTCCTGGAAAGTCCTTGTCTGCCCTTGTGCACTTGTTTCCCCACTTGACCCAAGTGACTGTATTTGTTGTGCACTTATTGGTTGACCATAGCTTTGTTCCACCTCATACCCATCCTATGATTTGCTATTGAATCAATATTACCTAAGTGAATATATTTGTAATCTTATTGATGGATTATGGTTCTGCAAGCTCACTCACCTCATGACATTGCTCAATAAAACATTCTTGAGAAGCAGGGTCAGAGGCAGCCCACTTTCTGGGCCTACTATTTTCCCTGTCAGACAGAAGTTTTCTTTTTCTCAATAAGTTCTTCCAAAGAAAGAAAGAAAGAAGGAAAGAAGGAAGGAAGGAAGAAAGAAAGAAAGAAAGAAAAAAAGAAAAGAAAAGAAAAGAAAAGAAAAGAAAAGAAAAGAAAAGAAAAGAAAAGAAAAGAGCAAACAAGCAAGCTGTTTAGGATTTTTAGGACAAGAAGGGGCTGGAGCCAGGACAGACAGTCGGCAGACAGGTGCATGCGCTGGGACGAGGGGACATGAATTTGCGTCTAGGCTCTGTGGCTTCAGGCAGCTGCTGCCTCTGCCACATGTACTTCCTGGGGTCTGCTGGGAGAAGGGAAGAGTGGGCCTGGAAACTGCCTATGAAGAGAGGTACAGCTGTAAGGCATCACTATGATGACGGCACTGACCGCCCAAAATGCCATAGTGTTGGAGCCATTTCAGCCATGGGTGCGAATGTCTGGGTCCGGTACATGCTGCCCTTTCCACCATGGTGTCTATGCACTGACCACGACCCTGTTACATTCCAGCGCAGTGGGCTGAGCGAGACTTGCTTGTTTTGTTTCACTTTTTGAGACAAGGTCTCCCTATGTAACCCATGCTGGCCTCGAACTCACGGTGATCCTCCTGCTTCAGCCTCCTGAGTGCTGAGATTGCAGATGTGTGCCAACCTGCCTGGCCCAAGTGAAGGTTACTGGAGTGTCTGTTTCCTCTGGTGGATCTATGTACTTGATAAGGTCAAGAGCTGTGTCTTTCTATCATAAAGAAATCAACCAACAACAAATGCTGGAGAGGCTGTGGGGAAAAAGGTACCCTTCTCCACTGCTGGTGGGAATGTAGACTGGTGCAACCATTATGGAAATCAGTATGGAGACTCCTTAAGAAACTAAAACTGGGAATCTCATGTGAGCTAGCTATCCCCCACTGGGAATTTTCCCAGAGGAACTGAAAACATCATAACATAGTGATATATGTGTGCCTATGTTTATAGCAGCACAATTTGTGATAGCCAAATCTTGGAAATAACCAAGATACCGATCACCTGAGGAGTAGATGGAAAAGATGTGGTATTTTTATACAATGGAGTATTATTCAGCTATAAAGAATGATAAACCTGAAGCATTTATATTTAAGTGGATGCCACTTGAAGATATACTCATAAGTGAAATAAACCAGACCCACATGTGTAAATGTCATATAGTCTCCCTAGTATAAGAACTCAAAAGAAGAAATACAAATAGAAAGGTATAACACAATCAAAAGGAAAGCGAGGACATGAGGATTGGACAACAAGGAGAGGTCAAGGAGAAAAGCTGTGAAAGATGACAGGCAAAGCCATACATTTATACACACAAGATGGGTAAGGCAATGATCCTGAAAAATATAAGCAGGTTTTTGAAACTAGCAGTTAATTGGTAGGATTCTCAACCTGACTAACTATATATGCTGAAACCTGTGAACCAAGCAACTGCACTGAAGATAGCAATGTGTAATAGAAGGGTCATGCTTGGAATGCCTGTCATTCTGGTCTTCTAAATACATACTGCTTGTCATGACATACCAATTATTGTCATACAGTCTTTCAAGTAATTTTTTTTTTCAGAACCAGCAATTGAACTCAGGCCTTTGCACTTGCCAGGGAAGCACTTATTCCACTGAGCCATCTCCCTGGCCCCAATATTTGTGTTTTTAAAAAAGAAAAGGGTAATAAATGAAAACAAGAGACAAGGAAAAAAAATGTCACAGGACTGTCCTGCTACAGTGCTGTATATGGTTAATTTCTAAATTTCTGTGTAAAAATATGTAATTGTTTATTCATATTTCTTTTTTTTTTCATTTTCATTAGGGAAGGGTCTATGGGATGTTTGGGGTCTCACTACTAGATTGGACTCATAGTGATCCACCTGTTTACAGCCTCCCAAGAGCTGGGATTACAGGCCCACACCACCACACCCAGTCTCATTCGCCTCTCAGCATGCCACAGGGGCAGGGCTGGCATGGCAGGGCCAGGGATTGAACCTGGCATCTGCGTCTGCTGGCAGGCACTTTAATCTGCTGAGTTATTTGGCTGGCCCTCATATTTCTTAAATATTTTATATTTTTGAAATTTTTTTCTCCATATTCTTTGGGGACTTAAAGTTTAACATATCAATACTTGACGGAAAATACATGTTCCATGTTATGCCTAAGATGTTTGATATTCAGACAGATAGTAAGGTTAAACCCAACTGCATATGTTGTAGGGTAATAATAAGCATTTCTTCTGGAGGGTTAACAACCTAAATTTGCAGACCAATAATTAGAGAAATAGAAGGGCTACAAAGACAGCCAATATTTTGGCCCTAGCCTTTCAAGGTCAGTGAAGATTCAGGACATAGGAGAACCTGTACTGTAACATCATGTAACTCAGGTGTGTACCAAATTTTCTGATCAAGGAGATTATGGGGCCACACAGCAACATAATCGATGATGTAGAGTGTGCCTATGGAGAGTCACATGGAGAGAAAACATTCTCTCAGGCTTTCACAGAGAGCAATTTGGTCAAGCAATGGCCATGACTCATCCACATTGCTGACACTGACAAAGGATCTGCAAACTTCGGTACAGGATAAATCCTGGGGGTACTTGACTGACCTTATCAGATACAAAAGTTACATTTCTTGCTATATAGGTCTTTGCTTTATCTTGGTCTTAACCATCCAGCAGAAAAGTATAGAAACAAGGTATAAAAAGTAAAGCCATAGTAATATGTTGAGCTGTAAAAGGTTCAAGTCAACAACTTCTAACATTGCCAGTCCTATGGATAACCCACTACTATTATGGACTACTGGATTATATTGGATTATTTTGCTGAATTCACAGACCTACAATGTTTAAATGGCAATGGAATACCCTTCTCTGACAAAACTAAACAAAAAAAGGGGATAAAAAAGAAGAACCATTTGGTATCTGTATATAAAAAAATAGGATAGATATACAGCTACTCTCTCTTAATTCAATGAGAAGAAAGATTTGTACTAATAGTATTTGGACAGGATATCACGTCTGCATCTTATGCTATGAATAACTACTAAGAAGATAACAGTATACAATGTATTAATTATTTTTTTAAAATTTTATTTATTTATTTGTGTGTGTGTGTGTGTGTGTGTGTGTGGCCAGCTCAGCCCACCAGGGGGAGGGGCTGGCTGGCATGTGGTGCTGGGGGACTGAACTGCGGTCCCTGTGCTTTGCTAAGCTTGTTCTAAGTAGGTGCTTTAGACCACTGAGCCATCTCACCAGCCCCACAATATATTAATTATTGAAACTGTCCTATCAATCAGTTTTGGAACTGTCTCATTGCTACTTGTTTCTCAATAGAATAAAAAAAATAAAGCTTTACTTACAAATAAAAAAAAAATTGTGTCTTTCAGCCAGGTGTCATGATGTACACCTGTAATGTCAGCTACTCAGGAGGCTGAAGCAAGATCAGAAGTTCAAGACCAGCTTTAGAGAGAGCAAAAGCCTATCTCAAAAAAAGTTTAAAAGTTTTTGAAGGGTTGACGATGTAGCTTAATGGTAGAATGAATATATATGTATCACTGTATCTTAATTTCCAATAATTAATGCTTGGGCACATAGTAATTTGTTAGGTGATTCAGTGAGAGAATGAATAGGATGAATAGCATGTGAGATACTGATGTCACAAGCAAACGGTGTCTCTGCAGCATCGTGGAGCAGGTGTGTGCAGTGTCACGGAGGACAGCTCTGATGTGTTCCTTTCTCCACAGTCAGCTGTTTGGCTCTAATATTCTGATATGGTGCAGGTTTGGCTCTAATATTCTGATATGGTGCAGTGTACCTTTTAACACTCTTTAAAAATTTTCTCTATCTTATCAAATATTCACAACCACGCCTCCAAATGGGGACCTTGCAGGGTGATTTTGGAGGAGCAGGATGGGTCTGAGGTGGGCTTGTGTTAGAACCTCCTTTCCTGATTCCCTTGCCTGTGGGAGCCCATGGCTGGTCCCATGGAGCACAAGCTGGGTCTGTCCCAGCTCCCTGTGGAACAAGGTGGCACTCTCAGGAGGGAAGTTCTACAGTCCTTCCTTTGCATGTGGGAAATAAAGACACTTGCTACTGTTTCTTACACTTAATACATGTGTAACCTTTAAGGATGCAAAAGATACCCACATCAGGATTATAGCTATTTCCATTTAAAATCCTCATTGGCACAGACATGTGATGCTCATGGGGGGACACATTTCCCATCACCTGGCTTGGGAGGCACCACCCAGCCATGCACCCAAATGTCTTTTCCAAGCTCGTCCTATTGGACCAGGATGGCTCTCACCAGCATCTGTACTCTTTTGTGAAATGCTAGAAGGGCGTGTCCAGGATATTCACCCTCATCAGGAACTTGTTTTTTTGAAGATCCTGCATGTTCACCTTGCCTGACACAAGTTTGTCCCAGGATGGGAGATTCAGTACTGTGCGAAGCCACTGGTCTTCCATGAGCTCCGCATTTGAGTACCACCACTCCTGCGGGAGGAGAGAGGGCAGAGGTCACCTGTGCTCTTCCAGAGTGTCAGCAAGACTGAATCTACAGAGAAAAGTGAGCTCTGCTGTCCCAATTAGGACTTTGACACTTTCTTCTATATTTTTTATTTTTATTTATTTTTGTCTTTTTTAGATAGGGTTTCGTTGTGCAGGCCAAGCTGCCCTTGAACTCACTTTGTAGCCCCGGCTGGCCTTGCTAACCTCCAAGCAATCCTTCTGCCTCAGCCTGCCAAGTGCTGGGATCACAGGCGTGCACCATAATGCCCATCTTATTCCTTCTTTAATACTGAGTATAAGGCTGGGTATTACACATGGTTTTGCCTTTTTTTTTTTTTTCTTGTTGTTGGAAGTACTACGAATTAAACCCACAGCCTTCACACTGAGCTACATTCCCAGCCCTTTTTATTTCTTATTTTGAGACAGGGTCTCACCAAGTTTCTAAATTGCTCAGGATGGGCTCAAACTTGAGACCCTCCTGCTTTAACCTCCCAAGCACTGGGATTACAGATGTGTATTAGTATGCTGGAGTGGTTTTTGCTGTGGAGGAGTTGCACTGACAGAGGGAGGAAAGACTTGCAAACAATTAACATACAGAGTGCACAAGGTCACAGGGAGGGGCTGAACCCGCACTAGGGGTATTTGCGGGCTCACAAGCCAGAACCATAAACTGCCAGCACATTTAGTAAGATCCAGAAAGGGCTGTGGTGACCACTCTGGTTGAAGTGTGTATCTGTGCTGGGACTGGACCCACAGGCGGCGGAGGCAATCACGTCATAAGAAGTCTCCTCGTCGAGGGGATCGGTACCTTTTCAAATGACAGGACACAGCTATGTGAGGACACGGCATGAGATGGCCCCAGCAAAGACCAGAACTTCACTGGGCAGCAGTCCCTGCCCTGGGCCTGGGCCTGCTGACTTCCAGCACGGTCCCCAGCTCTTCCATCTCCAAGTTGCCATCAGCCTAAGGTGCCCACGGAAACCCTCAGCATGGACTGACCAGGGGCTCCACGCCTGGGGCTGGCTGACTGCCCACCTTGCTCAGGAGCAGCCAGCTCTTCTCCAGCATGTTGCCCTGAGTTTCTGAGATCTCCATTGCCTGGCTCAGGTAAATGTCACAGTTCCGTCCATCTCCCATGAGAATGCAGATGTAGGCCATCAGGTGGTAGAGCCGTGGCTGCCACACAGAGCCCATGGTGTTTTGAGACAGGAGACTCTCCAAGTTCTAGAGAAGAAAAACCAAAACTATAATCAGAATCAGAAAGAAGCCTTTGTTTTTTGGTGGTGGTGGTCTTGGGCATTGAACCCAGAGCCTGGCTTCTTTTATTTTTTGAGAAAGCATCTTGCTAGGTCACCAAGCTGCCCAAGTTGAGGTCAAACTTGAGATCCTCCTGCTCCAGCCTCCCAAGTGCTAAGATTATAGGCCTGTGTCACCATGCAGGAGAGGAAGCAATAATGAGCAAGACTTGGTATGTGTGCATGAATTCATCAGTTAGTCATTGGACTGTGAGCAGCTTGTGAGTATCCTGCAAGATGAACAAATATTTCTTCTTCTT